TCGTTCCGTATAAAACGCACAAAACCAATACCAACTTGACTAAGGCAAAAATGTTCGGTATTATGTGTGCGAAACCTTGCTTTTTCTTACTGAGGTCCTAATCGTTCAGTATAAGTCGTGGGGTAGCTTTATGAACTTATACGAAGCTATGAATAGTTCTTTGTACATGAGACCGAGTCTTCAAAGACACAATTGGTTGATGAAAAGTTTCGCATGTACTATACTGAACCTTTGGATAGACAAACGAAACCTCGCAGGGGTTTGTATTGAATGTACTGAGCTTTTAAGAATTGACAAACTCGTTATTGGTTTCGACCATTCCATACGAAACCAAGTCTAGTTTAGTTTAAAATGTTCTAAACTTTTCGAAAACTGACGAACCATCGATGCGTCGGCGTGAAATCGTCTGATATATCAACTTGCCTGCGAAACTAGGAATAGTTTCGTAGAAAATTGAAGAAACGTCTCATCACACTCCTAAACCGCTGATGGTTCTGTAGACATGTTACAGAACTACGAATGGTTTCGCATGGCGCATTAAAAACCTGTGGATGGTTTTTGCTACCAATTGCCGAACCTTTTCGACGCTACTGAACTTAAAATAGTTCGGCAGTTCAAGCACGAAACATTTTTCGTTTTTCTGAACTTGAAATCGTTCGGTCGAAGTATAGGAAACCTTTTAGGTTCGGTAAAACTCCTCCTTTTTTTTGAGTGTGTATAACTTATTATTTTAAGAAGCCAGTAAATAATTGATTAAGAAAAATTCTTCGGTATTTTTGGCTTCATACATGCGCTCAAAGCATGATAGTACAAAATTTACATTATATAATTATGTACGTTGCTTATTCATTTGTAAAATAAGAAACAAAAGTAACATCGTATGAAAATTCAGTGAATATGAGCCAAGGTAATAGAGAATTGTCATATTCTACTCAGTCTACAGAAATAAATGGTATTTCACACTATGGATCACCTGTAATACATTTTATCAAACCTTCTCATTGTAATTATCGAAATTTTAAAAACATTGGGAGATCAACAAATGGAGAAAAATTTAACAACGTCACTTGTAAAAGAATAAAACGTCTTGAAAAACCTCCAGTATGAGATGATCGAATTTGAAGTATCTTTTACTATCTTTTTTTCTTTCTTTGTAGGTCTCACTCAATCCAAGTAATTATTCTCGACAAACTGGACGAAATCAATATTTTATTATAAAAATGTCAATTAAATCGCAAGCTGTTAATAATATTGGGATTAATCAATCTAGATCAACAGTAAGTATTAAAAAAAAAAGCATCCGAGCAAAGGGAGAAGGACGATCAGTGACAATATGATTCTCATCGCTTTTTGCTTTCGTCCTTCTCTCGAATGAACCTCATCGTTTCTAATCATGAAATTACATGTGAGATCTCTGGGACACGGATCTACACTCATTCGTGCCATGTATAGAACTCCATGAGCTTTATCTATTCCAGAGAACAGATTTTCAAATATACCTCCTCTTCATCCCTTAAAAGCTAAAAAAACAGTGAAAAGTTGTTGAGATGTGCTCTTTTCATAATTATAAAAAAAATTTTTATTATCATAGTTCGATGAAGGTTCTTTGGATACTATTATTTTACGATCAAAATCAAAATTAACCACCACGTCTTCACCAAATATAGTAACAAAAGTTGCAACTTTTCGATCAACTCAAGTACATGAAAACCAGGTATTTTAGCACTAAACCTTCATCGAAAATGTAACATATTATGTTAAGAGTTCGAAGACGAGAAACTCAACGGATAAATCTTTCGGAGGTTTAAACGAAATAAAAACCGTCGGTACAAAGAAAAAGTAAGTCACCTAATTTCAAGTATATCTACTATCTGGGCATTTCTTCATGTTACTATTTAAGACGGTCTCCTGTCAAGCGTTCAAGATTACCTGTATGCACAATTGCCCTCCTTGCTCTTCTTATTAGCGTAGCTATTGCTGGAATTGTCACTGGTATTGTGGTGATTTTGAAAAATACAAGAACAACAGGTACAGTAAGACTTCACTAAAACACATAAGTGAACATTAGAACACCATAGCAACGATGCACGAAGATCACTGTTTCGCGGTATCGATCGCGTGCAGTACACACAGTTAGACAAGGGAAGATATGAATATACACTCTCAAAACCCCTACGAAAGCATTAAAGATTCGTCTGATTGATCGACGGGTAGAACCTTACCTTATCAAATCTATTTTTTTGAGTTCAGGAGGAAACTATTAGCTTTTCAACTATAGAACTATTTACTAATGTTCTCAATTGAAAAGGTGAAAACGCAACGATGGCTTAAAACGTATTAGATAGAAACTTAAAAACTAATATTAAAATTAGGAAAAGATCGCCGCAAACCAGATCGATCATCTTATGAGTATGAATATGTAGACATCTATTACGTAGTAAACTAACTCTACACCGTCTAAGTATATTCCTCCAATGTCACTCATGTTGAAGACTTATTGAAGGTGAGTCTTCTATAAACTCTTTAATAGCAGAGGAGTTTCCCGAAGACAAATTACAGAGGGCAGGTATTATGTAAGTTGAAGAGTATTTTCAATAAATTTGAATTTTTCTTTTAGCGATAAAGGCAACAATGAAACCAGTGATATGTCCATCAGCTGTTTGGGATCCAAATGGAATTACAGTGGCCGGATCATCTAGTGGCAATCCCGGTTCAACGCCATCATTATTAAATGGGCCCTATGATCTTCGAGTTGATTCAGCACTTAATGTGTATGTAGCGGATTATTGGAATTATCGTTTCATTAAATGGTTTCCGAATAGTACAAATGGAACAGTTATTGGTCCGAAGCTTGGTAAAAGTCCGCCTGTAGATACACAGCATCTGAATACAGCTACAACTCTATGTTTCGATTCAACTGAATCTAACTTGTATCTATCAGATACATCCAATTGTCGTATTCTAAAATTAAATATAGCAACAGGAAATATCACAGTTAAGATTGGTTCAGGTTGTGGTAATGCTCTCAATCAAATCTACTGGTGTGATGGATTATATGTCGACCGTTAGTATTTAAAATGGCACTTTAATATATGTAATTAAATATAATTTATTTTATTATTAATAGGATTTGATAATATGTATGCTGCTGACTTTTGCAATGGTCGTGTACTTAAATTTCCTCCTAACTCAAATGTATCTACAAACGGTACTATCATAGCGGGAACTGGTGTGAGAGGTTCAGCTCTCAATCAACTAGATACACCCTACAATATTTATGTTGATGAATCTGATAACGATACATTGTATGTATCAGATTATTATAATCATCGTGTAATGAAATGGCTGCAAAATGCTACAAATGGAATAGTTGTCGCAGGAGGAAACGGTGCTGGATCATCCTATACACAACTGACAAATCCACAAGGTGTTTTTGTTGATTCATTTGGAACAATCTACGTTGCTGATTATGGTAATCATAGAATAATGAAATGGTTGAAAGGTGCAACAAATGGAACGCTAATAGCAGGTATTTCGGGAATTGCAGGAAACACGGCAATGTACTTGTCGAATCCTTCTGGAATTCAATTTGATAAGAATGGAGATATGTATGTTTCTGAGTATACAAATAATCGTGTTCAACGATTCACAATTAACAATACTTCATGTTAAAACATTCTTTTCCCTTTCTCTTATCCTATTTGTGTTCTATACTTTTGAATAAAACTCGTTGCATTATTTTGTTCAGATGAAAAGATAAAGTAAATCGTAATTTCGCATCATCAGCATTGTATTTTCCACACGAAGCTGGTAAAAGAGCAACCGCACTATCCTTTTCTTGTAACAAGAATTCATAAAAAATAATACTACTATTTATTATTTTTTCATCATAAAATTTTCCACGCAAACCACTGATATTAATTATTTGAAAAATACCACCTGAAGGCTTTGATTCCCTCAACGCTTTATATCTAACTGTCTGATAAATTTCTTCAACGAAATCAATGACAAGATCTCTATGATGTCGAAGTAAATTTTGCTAATCTTCATTATGATCTTTTGGTGTTTGAGGTAACGCAAATATGGTAGCAAATTGTATAAGATCACCTATACATTAAAAGTTCAAGCAAAAGTAAACCAATGGCATAATCTAATCGAACACCTGCTGAATCATGATCTTCTGATACATTTCTTAAAGTAATAGTTCGTTCGAACATGATATAACGGTTAAATCTCGTTGAAATACAAAATGAACTTTTTGTATGTTCAACAGTAACCATTCCATCATTTCTTGGTTTAATTAGTTGATGATGCATCATGAGAGAAGAATTTATTTTTCGAATTTGATTAAATAACGTAATAACTAAATGTGCTACTCCATCACCTGTATGCTCAATTCAATTTTACTATCATTGTTTCAAAGAAGAAGAAGAAGAAAATGAATTAATGAAATAATATTTACATATTTTCTTTTTCAAAATTATGTTTATCATTCCATATATTTAGCTATTATTATTAATCCATTTCGTACAAATGGATGAAGTGGTAGTGCACCATCATCATGATAAAGATTATAACATAATCTGTACAGTCATATAAGTATAGCATACGATAAACTTTAACTTTTCGTTGCGCAACTTCTTCAGTAAAACTTTCGACACTTGTTTCATTCATCATTGATATTATATCGATAAGAAAAAATCGATGAGTGATTGAGTACGCATAGAAAAAGTACTGTATTTCATAGTATAATCAAAGTAATTATGCTCTTCTATACAAATATAAACATAAATACCAATAAGACTTTCTCGTGATTATATATGCATCGATTTTCCATGATATATAAATATCTTCTTTTTAATTACATAATAATCAATTAGAATAATTCGAATTTTATTTTATTGTATAAAGGTTAAAATGTAATTAGAAAGAGAAAGAAAAGAAGGTATATAAACAAATGATATTTTATTATTATTCTATTTATGAAGAAATAGAGATTGTAATTAATTATAATACACGTGTACATGCATGTCGAAAAAAAGTGGTCAAAAAACGGAAAGTCGTTTGTGTGTGTGTGTCTGTCGCAGGTCAAAAATTCTGTGTGTACGCCGATTCCACCGACTATTGGAAAGTATGAAATCAAAATTTTATGGTCAAACGTTCGCAGGGAAGCCATTCTACGGTCAATGAATAATAATGATCATTGGAGTCCGAATCATTTCGTTCCTCTAATGTCGGCAAGTATACGGCATGAATATGTTGGTGGTAGTCAAATGAAATTGATTAACAAAGTGAGTGATAAACTTGCATGTGCAGATCTGAATTGTCGTTATGTTTATTTCTATTTTTTTCACAGACGCCTGAAAAGAAAACAACGAAGAATAATCACAATTCTCATGTACGGATTCCTGAATTTCAGTCTTCACCTAGTAGACGTTTACGCAGTGAAACTAGCACAAACAGTGATCATGTTGAAATCGTCAATTTAGATACCATGGAACAAAATGAAATGAAAAGGGAAGGACAGCATCCAATGCGACTTATCACTCTGGAAGATCGTGCTCGTTTGAGACGAAATAGTGAGACAGATGCTCAACATCAAAATCGGCTGCGAAGAGATCGAGAGCGAACACGAAGTTGACGAGCTAATGAAACACAAGAACAACGTCAAGGTCGACTAGAGCAAAAAAAGAGTATGCCCGAACAAGTCGAGTGAACGAAACGGCGGAAGAATATCAGATTCGGATTGATCATCAAACAGAACGAAGTCAATCGAATAGAACTAATAAAAAATTGGATGAATTGTCGATCGACAGTACTTTCGTTCATCAACAAGATATCCATGATCATGCATATGGAAATAGCGGCTATATATATCCTGCTCATAACTCGAAGAATGGAATCGAACGTCACGATAGTGCCACAAATAGGAACAAAATAAAAGATTCTCTAACTTGGCCAGCACCCGTATCCAGTGAATTAAAAGAAGAATGCTTAAAACAATTTCTTCAACAGATGTCTATGGACAATCTTGCTGAAGTGACGTGTGCAGTCTGTAATGTTCGTAGTTCAAAACAGCAATGCAAAATAGTTCCAACTTCGACAATATCTCATAAGGATCTGCTCAAGGTATCTGATGAATTAAAAGGTTTAATTACAAATATTCAACTATCAATTCCAAAACATTTTACTGGTAATATTCAATACAACACTTTGAATACCTTTGAAAAGAGAAAAAACGCTTATGACTTTTGAAGACATACGTAAATTTTTTTATGATTTTTTAGGATCTCCCATTCAAAATTCATTACCTTTCTATTTTGAAAATTATATTGTTCTTTATAAGAATGGGGTATCTCAAGATAACGAGATAGCTATGTGTTCGATTTGTCAAAATTGTTCTCATGCTCTTTCCAAAGACAAAATTCCAAAATTCTCAGCAGCGAACAACATGTGGTTGGGTGATATACCTACCCAGTTGCAAGGATTAACAATCCCAGAACAAAAGTTGATCTCATTGCATCGTCATAATAGTTGTGTGATAAAACTCCACTCACCTTTTCATACAGCAACAACTGCACAGGGGGCGTTGAAAGGCAATT